CAGGTTGGACCTGACTGAAAGCAACAGACTACAAATTAGTAAACTAAACATGAGATTGTAGTCCATCATCGGAGTGAGCTTGGAGTGGTGACTACTTTGTAACGCACACAGGGACCATGGGGGACAAAAGTAGCCCACCTCCAGAAGGAAGGACGGTGTCAGCACCAATTTAGAGATGATTTGAGGATCTACAGCCGAGTGATACACAAATAAAATACATTTTTGATAATAGTTAAGGTGCTTGAATGTATTTTTAAATTGCAGCGCTGAATACTGAAAAATGGCCTGGATGGGAAGGGGGTTTAACACCGCGGATGTCAACTGGTTAAGCAAGCAGTACTGACCACGTTCCCTGATATACAGATGACCACTAGAGGGAGCATTTATACTAGGGATGCACCAATACCAATACGCGCCCAAATGCTCCTGATACTTATCATGATACTGGAACTTCCGGTATCAGAAAGTCACTAGGGAGCATAAACTGGCTTCCCGGCCAATCAGGAAATGACTGGCCCCCTGATTGGCTGGGAAACCGACTCCATGTTCCCTCGTCACCCAGCCAATCATTAAGCCGGACAGCGTGTAATGACCCGCTTCCCGATTGGCCAGAAAGCCGGCTCCATGCTTCCTCGTCACCAGTTGACAAGGGAGCATTGAGCCAGCTTCCAGGCTAATCAGGCTTCCTTATTTGGACTTCTGGTATCGGTATTGGCGAGTACTGAAAAAAAAATATCGGTACTCATACTTGATACCAAAAACCGGTATCGGTGCATCCGTAATTTATGCATCTCTTTATGAACTAAAATGACCAAAATATACAACAGCGCATATAAAAATGGGCCAACAATTGCTTTCAGATAACTGTATATATAACATATATATACAGTGGGGCAAAAAAGTATTTAGTCAGCCACCAATTGTGCAAGTTCTCCCACTTAAAAAGATGAGAGAGACCTGTAATTGGCATCATAGGTAGACCTCAACTATGAGAGACAAAATGAGAAAACAAATCCAGACAAATCACATCGGCTGATTTGGAACAAATTTGATTTGTCTGGATTTGTTTTCTCATTTTGTCTCTCATAGTTGAGGTCTACCTATGATGCCAATTACAGGCCTCTCTCATCTTTTTAAGTGGGAGAACTTGCACAATTGGTGGCTGACTAAATACTTTTTTGCCCAACTGTATATATATATATATATATATATGTATTAACTCTAAGTGTGTTCATACTGAAAATACACTATAATTTCCCTTTAAAAGGTCAGGTTACCTAAACTGCAAAATTCTGTTTTTGATGATTGCACAATGAGGCGCTGTCACCTCCAGCAGTGACGAATGAAGAAACGTGGCTATTTCCATTATTATAAAAAGACAGGTGCACTTTATCGGTACCTCTTCTTCATACCCATTTAGGAATCATGCATTTGTTTAAATCCAATACGTATATAAAATCTTGTGCTGCAATTCAGGACATTAAACTCATTCTGAAGTGCATGCATAATAAACGCTGTTCAGCCACAACAAAAGCCCATCACAGAAGATGATTGGTGCATTGGTGAATGAAGGTTTAGTAATACGAGACAACTTTCTACAGAGATTTGCATGCTTGTGCCAGCTACGTAGGCGGGTGTTAAAGTAGTTTGTAATGAGAGCTAGTGTAGCTATTGTGACATACAATTGTGTCGTATTTGTACATTGCGTTCACAGTTCAAGTGACGTCAGTGCAGCAGAGTTAGACAGTGGGGCTTATTTATAAAGATAAATCACTGCGTTTTATTTCACTGCATCTTCCATGATTTTCTTTTCATTTAGGAAGCCAGAGAATTAACAATGTTTACAACAATGTATTGGCCCGATTTGGTGCCGGAACGCACTGGATCGCATTGCAGCCGGCTCCCTGCGTTCAGGGGCAGGAGGGGGCATGGCGGTGTATTGAAGTCAATGGCACCGCCCCCCAGCCGCAGTGCGATCATCCGCACCGGAAAGCGTGGCACATCAATGCCTGCGTTCCGGTCCAGTCAGAAAAAATTCTGCATGCACTATTTTTTCTGACCGCACCAGGCTGGAACGCAGGCATTGATGTGCCAAGCGTTCCAGTGCGAGTGATCGCACTGCGGCTGGAGGGGGCGCTGGCTGCGGTGCCATTGACTTCAATGCGCTGCCACGCCCCCTCCCACCCCTGAACGCAGAGAGCAGGCTGTAATGCGATCCAGTGCGTTACAGCACCAAATCGTGCTGGAACGCACTGTTTGTGGTGTGAACTAGCCCTGAAAGTGTTTTGTTATATCTGTTTGATAAGTGCAAAAAATACCCGATGGTTCTGCCAAAAATCTTGTTAGCTGATAACCTTCTTCTCTCTCTGCCTGGGCTGACTGTTATCAGTCAGCGATGTTCTCAGGTCTTTGTGGACCACAGAACACCTCCCCCCATGGTGTGAGAATGATAAAATAGGAACTGTTCTGTAGTCCTAACATACTTACCGTCCTAGAGTAACAATGCTGCTTCTATATACAGTAGATACAGTACAGTGAGTAAGGCCTCTTTCAGACGGGTGGCAGTCTCCACCGCCCTCTGAAAAGAGATCTGTGGTGGATCGCTTTTCAGGGGACGGTGGAGCAGTGGCTGCCACGTGTTGAGGAGACAATATTGCCACCTCCTGAATGCAGGGTACCCATGCGGTTGCTGCTGTGTCATTCATTCCTATTGCTGCGTTTGACATGTGGCACCACCTGTCATATGCGACACACTGTATATTTTTTGCTTTGCCACGATGCAAAGCATCGCGGCAATGTATACAGCACTGTGTGGCTACAGACCACTGCAGCAGGTTACTTGGGGACAGTAAAACCGCACATCAACTGCACAGTTTTACCTCCCCCTTGCTGCCCGTGTGAACGAGGCCTAAACGTAGTCACCTAATACAGGAAGTGTGTTCCTGGCAGGATCTCTAAAGGTAAAAAAAAAAAGGGGGGGGTTTAAAACTAAAGCAGCTGCCATGTCTAAGGAGCGGTCAGGTGAAATATACTTAATTTTTGTTTTTGGGTTTAGAATGGAGTTATTGGATCACAGCTGAGCTAGGGCTCGTAAGAAAAAATCTTTATAAATCAGTTAATAAGTCAACTCTCTCTATAGATTTATCTGACTGGTTTTCAGCACAGGGGAAATTAGGAGAAGAAATTGTCCGGTGCAGATTTAGGCCTCATTCAGACAAGAAAAGGCCGGCGCGTACAGCTCCGTGCTGCGTGCACGGCCGTATCGGGCAGCTCCTGGGAAGGACAGGTGCTGCGTGTGATTAGTACGTAGCCCCTGTCCTTTCCCTTGGGAATACGCGGCCGTACGCCGCCCTACGGTCACCTCAAGTGCAGGTCCGTATGGGTGCGGGTGTCCCGGCTCGGACACAGACAGGATCCATAGACGTGCAGGGTGGGTGAGCATGGGGCGGCATACGGCCGCGTACTCCCATAGAGAAGGACGGGGGCTGCGTACTAAATCACACGCAGCACCTGTGCTTCCCAGGAGCTGCCCGATACGGCCGCGCACGCAGCACGGAGCTGTACATGCCGGCCTTTTCTTGTGTGAATGAGGGCTTACTCAGAGGAAGCTTTTTCCCGATTTGAGAAAACTGACAAATTAAAAAAGGCAAAATAGCAAATGCAATCTTTTATAAATAGGCCCCAGTGTGCCTAGTACAAGCATAAGAGAGATACATTTACAACAGCAGTGTCTCAGCACACATCTGTACACATCAATTGTAATGCTATGGCTGAAGGTCACTGTACATACAGCAGTTAAGAACAGGACAATGCGAAACTTGGCAGTAAGTATGAGTGAAAAATACTGCTCTCTATGAAATGTCATACTGCAGTCATTTTACGGTTACACGGATATCCAGCCGAGGGGGCGCAAGGCTTTTCATTTGGGATCCCAGGAGGCTGCCAGATCTCTACATCCAGGTTCCCGATTCCATCCATCCATAGTAGACATAATGCTTGAGGATGACGGAGTGGAGCCATAGACTCCAGTGTTAGATTCCACTGCTGAGAAGTAGGGATGTGCTCAGGTTCGGTCCAAACCTGAGCACCTCTGAACCCGGAAAGAATCTCCTGCTGCCATTGGGAAATGCCGTGCCTGCAGCTCCATTTAAGCAAAGGGGCGGCATGCTGTTACATCATTGACTTTATATGGCCACATGGCTATATTTGATCAATGACACTGACCATGTGACCATGTAGAGTCAATGATGTCAGCACAAGCAATCCGCCCCTTTTTTTTAAATCTGCAGCTGTGGGTTGGGGAATGCCCTGGGCTGCAGCTGATCGGGTGTCCCTACTGTGTTTGGAGAAGCTCATCCCTACTGAGAAGTATCGGAAGCCTTTGGATGATTTAATCCAGCAGCAGCCAACCAAAATTGTATATTTAAGTTTAGCATGGACCAATCATTTAACAGGTGAACCCCAGGCTGTTAAAGGACACAACTTAATGCAGTTTGGTATCCATTAATAAATCATGAAATGGATCTTTTGAAATGAAGCTAACGGAAGTACCTGAAAAGGTAAATGGAGGGGCAGGACTGTAAGCCTATCAGGTGCTGCATGCTGACTAGAAACCTGCTGAAAGAGGAGACAGCCTAGTGAACAGGCAGATGACCTCATTAGTATGCTCCTGCTCTTTTATTGTCCAGTCAACAGGCTGGAGAAGAGAGAAGACACCAAACTATTCTGCATCCAAGGCCTCACCCTCGCTGTTGGCATTACGAGGCGTCTGGATTTATAATGAGCCAGAAATTGCAGCAGAGAGATCTCACTGTTGGAGTTTAAACAAAGTCAGGAGCTAGAACTAAAATATCACTTTTGGATGGAATGGCCCTTTTAATTGCCCCCTCTGCTGGAAAATGCATTCGCTGTTATAACCACACCATGAACTGCATGACATTTCTGTGAACACAGGTCTTCATAAAAAAATATAAATTACAGAAACCAGCTTATCAGAGACACAGCAGTAAAAGTGTTGCGTAATTACACTCTGTCTCTGTGGAGATTGTACTAAGGCTGAGGCTACAATGTTTTAAATAAACCGATATGTATAAACGTTAACCTAAAAAAACTTAAACATTCAAACCGGGAAACACAGAGATGGAATTCTATGTTTCAGGACCATAATTCTTCTGTTCTTCCAAACTTGTAGATAAGAGTGCTGTGAGAGAAAGGAAGAAAGGGGTTCATAAACGTTCCCTAAAACCACAAAACGACATAGGTGTGATGTCTGATGGGTGCTTCTATTTGCACATCACCATTAAGTCCTGGTTCACAATGAGCATTTGTAGCGCTTTTTCTGCCCTAAAAAACGCTCAAAAAATCTGCCCCCCCCAAAAAAAATCCCCTTCATTTCTATGGCCTTGTTCACATCTAAACATGTTGTCGCAATAAGCAAAATGCCTGTTGCTGGAAAAATGATGACATGATCACCTTCACAGATTCAAAGCAAGCAAACATTCTCCTTCCTCCGGAGACCTCACTATCATGCAGGCATACTTCTAAGTCCTGCAAATCACTTTGTTTATATGCTGTTGTACTTTGTGGCTACTCTGGCTGTAAGCACTACAGGTCTCATAGACCCCAGCTCTGCAGTTGCATCTCCGGCCCCCACTCTCCTGGCCAGAAAACGGAGCCTGGGGCCAAATTATTTGTTAATCGGCTGTAAGAGATTTGGCGTGGGTTGCTATTCTTTTTACATTGCCATGACTTTAGCAACCAGTGTCATTGTGCCACCAGACACTCACGTTCCTGAAGCCATGGTAACGTATAAACAATAGGGATGCACCGATACCGGTATTTCGTAATCAAGTACCGATATTTTTTTTCCGGTACTTGCCGATACCAAATACCGGAAGTCACATTCAGGAAGCCAGGCGGCGTGTAATGACTCGCCACCCGGCTTCCTGATTAGCAGGGAAACCGTCTCCATGCTTCTCGTCACTAGGTGACGAGAAAGCATGGAGCCGGCTTTCTGGCTAATCAGGAAGCCGGGCGCCGTGTAATGACGCGGCGCCCAGCCTCCTGAGTGGGTGGGAATCCGGCTCCATGCTCCCTTCTCATGAAGTGACGAGGGAGCATGAAGCCGGCTTCCCGGCCAATCAGAAAGCCGGGCGTCATTACATGGCGCCCGGCTTCCTGATTGGCCAGCTTGCAGACTAGTCAGGAAGCCGGGCTGCGCGTTATGCTCCATGCTCTCTCGTCACCTTGTGACGAGAGAGCATGGAGCCGGCTTACCGGCAAATCAGGAAGCCGCGCAGCGAGTAATGACGTGCTGCGCGGCTTCCTGATACCGGAAGTATCGGGCTAGGCATCGGAGCATTTGGGCGAGTACGAGTACTCGCCGAAATACTCAGCATTGGCAAAGATACCGATACTAGTATCGGTATCTGTGCATCCCTAATAGACAACCAACCGCGCTTGATCGCCTATGGCACACGTGCAGATGACATTATACATAATCTTTGAAAGAAAAAAAATATTCGCCTTTTTCACCCAGGAACTCATGAGATTTCTCAAAATCTCACACTTCGCCCACAGAAGCTCCCTAAAGACACTGGTGATGTAGTCTTCTCAGGGGACAGCTGAGGGGTTCCGGCTACTTCATCAGTGTCTAAGAAAAGCAGGAAGTGACATAAATGTATTGGAAGTTTTGCCCAAATAACAATTATTCAACATTGCACTAGAACAAGTTTACAGTTCAACATCTAGAGCTTCATATTCCTGTGTTTTTGTTTTTTTGGGGAGGGGGGAAAGGTCCACTTTAATCGTGCACCTTAGGAGATCTGGTGCGGACATCATTCGTGGGCTTGCCCCAAGAATCAGGAAGAAGAAGCCGGGCCACCGATGATGTGGAAATCAACATGGCAGACAGTTTTAGCATAAAGTTGGGCCAAGAAGCACTGATGGCTTTGTAAGATTGTCAAAAGACACTTTATTAAGCTGAAACCTAATGAGAAGGGAGATGGTGGGTCAGTTCAACTTACCTAAAGAATATTAAAGCATTCTGGAAAAACACAGCCAGACCGGGGTAGACATTAACACCTGCAGAATAAATCAGAAAATAAAGATTATGTTACCAGTTCACAGGAAAAAATAGAACGTGACATAAAAGTAGTCCCAGCTACATTACCTACAGATTACATTATATCGTGAAACAGATTTCTCTAAATTATAAGCAAACTGTACATATTCACTATGGATATAGCTAACTTGAGTCCAAAGCACAATGAACTTTACCTCTCCCAGATCCATAAATTAATTTATGTCTCGAGGAAAACAAAATCCCTTCTCTCAGGTGAAAGAAAACATGACCCCATATTCACAGATGATTCACAGAATATGGCTCAAATACAGTATATAACCTAACCTGCTAATCTGCAGACAGTGGAAATTAATTGAAGTACATAAATACAATGAAATAAATATTTTTGGGGGAAAAAAAGTGAAAAGAAACATATTGGGTGAGAGTGGCTCCATTAAAAGTAATCTACAAGTATAGATTCCAGAGAGAAACATTCTGACTTGAGGGCCGGTTCACACCACAAATCCCACGTTCCAGTACATTCGGCCTCTGGATCGCACTCGAACGCAAGCAGGGCAGGCTCCCTGCGCTCAGGAGCGTGGCGGTGCAATTAAGTCAATGGCACCGCAGCCACGCCCCCCACCCGCAGTGCGATTGCCCGCACCCGGAACGCAGACACATTAGTGTCTGCATTCTGGTTTAGTGCGTTCTGCAAAAATACATCAAGCACTATTTTGGCAGAACGCAATGGACTGGAACGCAGACACTAATGTGTCTGAGTTCCGGGTGCGGGCGATCGCACTGCGGGGCCATTGAATTCACAGTTAGGTTGAAAAAAGACACATGTCCATCGAGTTCATGGGTGCACGCGCACGCATGGGTGTCTCCTCAGAGGCAGGCTAACTGAAGGATCTCCATATGGCTTGCAGCACTCCTTACCGGATATCCCAAAAGTAATGGGTGCTGGTAATGACTGCGTATGGCGCCGCTCACAGTAAAACTTGAATAGAGATGTCACCCGCAAACCAGCATGAAAATCCCATATCAGTGCAAATCTATTTTATTGATAGATGTCACTCAAATGACAAGCGCTTTGGGGCCGCGCAGGGTCCCCTTCATCAGGCTGATGTGCTGGTGACATCTCTATTCAGGCAAACTGAAGGAGATAAACAGGCCGGGGGGCTTACAGTTTGGGGACTAGCTAAAGGACGAGGAAGAAAACAAGAGCACTGAAATCATATAAGTGCGGGTTTAATATCACTTTACATACATTAGAATGTGAGCTCCTTTGGGTATCAAGGCTGATGGTAAGAGTTTTAGTGTAATCCTTAATAAGCTGTGGAATATTCTGCCACGATATAAAACACTACATAAATTATTAAATAATATCTGACCCAATGCAGCTTAATGGATCTTTTATAATGTGTTCCTTTCCACGACTGGGAAGGTCTGCGATTCTCACAGTAAACAATTATTCGTGCTTTCATGATGTACCTTGCAGATGACAGCTGAAGTCTACTTCCTCTGCCCAACAATGGGAAAGGGGTACTCACTTTGTGTAACGTAGGCACCAAAAAGGATCCACATGGAGGCGATCAGCGACCCAAACATCATCATGAAGCCAATGAAGAGCCATATCCGTGCTCCTATGAGACAGAAGTCATAGAGTTACACACTATATCTGGCACAAAGAGGCCTACAGGCTCAAATTCATCATCATTAGTTTTGTTTACTCGATAATTCATTCATTCGTGTGTCAGATAAAGCTTTTTTCCCTTGTTGGGATCCCTTAGTGTTTTTCTTGGATGCTACTGTCAGCATTGAATTTCTGATACTAAGGCTTCATCTCTCATACAGTAAAGTGATCCTGTCATTTGCCCACCTTTTTCTCTTCCCTTGTCCATTCACATTATGCCGTGTATTCTGTTCACATCAATGCAAGGTGTTCTGTGAATGGATAAGGGGAGAGGAGGGGCGGGTCGATTACATGATCTGAGAACTACAGATCTTGTCCATTCACTGAACACCTTGTATTCTCTGAACATAATACAATGCATTTTGTGAATGGACAATGGGAGAGGAAAGGGAGGGTAAAAGAAAGGATCGCTTCATCGTATGGATTATAGAATAAACAGAGGCGATGTGGAACATGTTACACCCCATTACAAGAGGTAACTTTTTGCCTTAAAAAACATATATACATACACTTTTAGATAATTGACAGCTTTTTATTTTTTTCGAATACCTCTCTTACATCTGTTTGATAAGTGCATAAAAAAAGCTGTTGATCCTGCCAGAAATCTTCTAAGCTAGCAACTTCCTGTGCTGTGCTGTACTGTTATATTGCTTTAGGGCTAGTTCACACCAGCCACAGTGCGTTCCGGCCCGATTGGTGCCTGAACGCACTGGATCGCATTACAGCCGGCTCACTTTGTTATGGGGCGGGAGGGAGCACGGCAGTGCATTGGACTCGATGGCACCGCAGCCACGCCCTCCGGCCGCAATGCGTTCGCCTGCATCGGAACGCGTGGCACATCAGTGCTTGCGTTCCGGTGCAGTCAGAAAAAAAGTGCATGCAGCATTTTTTCTGACTGCACCGGAACGGAACGCAGGCACTGATGTGCCACGTGTTCCGGTGCGGGTGATTGCATTGCGGCCGGGGGGAGCGGCTGCGGTGCCATTGACTTCAATGGACCACCACGCCCCCTCCTGCCCCAAAACAAAGTGAGCTGGCCGGAATCTGATCCAGTGTGTTCCAGCAATAATCGGGCCGGAACGCACTGTGACTGGTGTGAACTAGGCCGTAAAGACTGCAGGAACCCGCCAATCTAAGTTACAGTAATGTATAAGAGGACAGTAAAGTTCCCAGTAGTCCTATCCTGTTCCTGTTGTCCTGATACAGTACAATGAGTGTGTTTTGGCCCTGCTAGGACAGGAAGTGCGTTACTGGCAGAATCACAACGATAAAATAAAGAAAAAAGACAAAAAAAATCAGAAAGCAGCCACCACATCTAAGGACTGGAATGCTGTACTATATGACATTTATGGTTTTGGGTTTAGATACACTTCAGTCTACCGGCACCACAAACATAAAAAAAATACTGACCGGCCCTTCCCAAGCAGCCATCGCTGTAGCTGTCACCTCGCACCTGTGCATTAGACACTGCGTTTATCCTGGAGGGACAGACATGTCAATCAAACATGATATTCATAATATAGAGGGGTGAGCTCTTGCACCTTAGGCAAAAGCATATTTCTTTTATGAATCAAAGAAAGTTATTTCTGCAGTAACCAAAACAGAAGAAAAATAAAAGCAGATAAGCCTGGCTGGACACACAATATATGTGAGCAGGTGCTCTGCCTGGCATACAGCTCTGGGCCTGCTGCCTGTTGTCTGCTCACTGTACTTACCACCTGTTTTGCTTTGTCACATCTAAAACTCCAGATACATTCACTGCTATTATAAATTCATAGCACCGGCATTGTCAGTAGCGCTGAACAGATATGTATTAGCTATGCGACTTTCACCTGAAGGGTGAGATCTAAACAATATGCATCTGGCTGCTGGCTTTGAGAAACATGGGAGATTCTTAAAGCTGAACTCCGGCCTTCCCTTCAGTCTTGCACAGTTGTACCGGCTCCTAAAATTGCTTCCTCTGACCTCACTGCACACTGTGAGCTTCTCACAATGTACATTAGAAGCTGCAGCAAGTCAGGCAGAGCACGCCTCATTTCCTGGATGGGGGTTGTCCAGCATCATCTTGTCCAGGGGTAAGAGCACAGGACACTGTGGAGACTGTTCCGGCCCTGCCCCTGGACACTTGCAAATTTGTGTCAAGAAATGTGTCATCCAAAAGACTAACCAACAGGCATAAAGATCTGGCATGGATGGCGATCCAGGGAGGGTTGCCCGTAAGTATGGTTCTTCGGTATCGGGTACGAGTAACGATATTTTTTTCTGGTTCTCACTGATACTGAATACCGCTACTGGAAGTCCCATTAAGGAAGCCAAATCCTCCTGTCCCATCGCACTCATGACCGGACAAAAACCCAAATCCAACTGGGTGGGTGCGGTGGTGACAACGGATGCCTCCGTGAAAAGTAGATAGATTAAAGTAGTCACTCGCACTCCATGATATTAAAGTCAATGCTGTTTATTGACTGAGATAACACACATCTCCATAGCATCTCCTCGCTAAGGAAATGTGTGTTATCTCAGTCAATAAACAGCATTGACTTTAATATCATGGAGTGCGAGTGACTACTTTAATCCATCTACATTAAGGAAGCCAGGCGGCGTGTAATGACTCCCCACCTGGCTTCCTGATTAGCAGGGAAGCATGCTTCTCGTCACTAGATGAGGACAAAGCATGGAGCCGGCTTTCTGGCCAATCAGGAAGCCAGGCGCCGTGTAATGACTCGGCGTCCGGCTACTTGTTTGGCCGGGAAACAGGCTCCATGCTTATGAGGTGACGAGGGAGCCTGAAGCCGGCTTCCCGGCCAATCAGAGAACCATGCTGCGAGTCATTACACGCTGCCCGGCTTTTTGATTGGCCGGGAAGCCGGCTCCATGCTCCCTCGTCACAAGTGACGAGGGAGCCTGGAGTTGGCTTCCCAGGCAATCAGGAAACCGGGCAGCGTGTAATGACTCACTTCCCGGCTTCCTGATACCGGAAGCTCGGGTATCGGGCTAGGCAGCGGAGCATTTGGGCGAGTACAACTACTCGCCCAAATACTCGGCACCGATATATAGGTGCATTCCTACACAAGAACTTTCATGCATGCTAGAATCCTGTGCAGATACAGGCATTGCCCATGATGTAGAAGAAACTGCTTTACATCTCTTCTGGCACTGCCTTGTCAGGATCCCTGGAACATGATCTCAAAGACTTTGTGCCACTGACAGAGATCACTCACTTAGGGGTGTTGTACGCACTGTTTTGCAGCGTGTTTACAGAAGAAGAAATTGGTGGCGCCTGGTGGGTGATTTGTTGCTTCAAGAATGCTTTGTGGTGTGCCAGGAAGTGCCTCACCCTCCAGAGGGAGAGGATGCCCACTGAGGACTGTCACAGGCTAGTTCTCCTTATGGACTCTGAGGAGGAAAAGGACGTCTGAGAAGATTTCCTCTTCCCTTCGCTTTCACTTTTTTGTCTTTATGCTTCAATAAAGCTTTGGGCCTGTGATGTTTTCCCGCTCCCTTATCCCTCTTCCCTATCGCTTATTGAAAGTTTAATGTCTATGAGTTTTTGTCACGGAGCCATGTAGTTTGGAACCGGGGTTGTACTCTGGCACTGCACGTCCGACATTGTGCCGCAAGGTATTTGCTGGTGGGTCCCTACGGACCACATATACAGTATGGACCACATATTCAGTACCATATATTCCGCTATCTCATGAATGACATGGAGGGCCCAAGACCCTGGTCTTGTGCTACACGTCAGGCATTCCACCGCTGAGCAAGTTGAAGGCCAATTATTGGCCGGATTTGTGGGAGGAGCCCCGCACATTTAAGACCCTCTGGTTCCCCCACTCACCTGTCGGGACGTCCAAGTCATCCCACCCTCCCTGACCCCTTTCATAAACAGTTACTTGAGTATGCCCCCTTATTGCATACTGACCATAGTGACCGTGGCACACCTCAGGTCAAGGTTAGGTAGGGTCATCATCCGCATGTTACAAGTTCGAATCAGTGGGGCTCTGACTACAAATGTATTTTATCTATATGAATGTGCTGTGTTTCCATGTGGTATTCTTGCGCTGCTTCGCAGTACAGGGTGGAATGTCCCCCGAAAAAGTATCTTGTTTTCTATTTCTATATTCAATAAAAAAGGAGGGTAGGGAACTTTGCCACTTCAGCTATGGGGAAACTACACATACCGTCCTGCCTCTTTCACTGGAAGTCATGCTTGTGGCTGTCAGAGTCTTGCAATGCCTCATGGGACTTTGGAAGATTTCCCCTCTCTTACTGTTCTGGCAGCAACCAGAAGTTCTGTATTGCCCCTTAATTCACGGTGTCATTGCTGGTTAGAACGAGTGAATCTCCCTAACGGGGACACAGACAAGTGATAAAAACCTAACAGAGGTTCTAACATCCCACCACTTTGTCCAAATCTAAAATACGTTTTGCCTTTACTTATGCTTTAAAGGGGAACTCTTACTGATTCATTAGAATGGAACTTGTTTTCTGTCCTGAATTTAGACTCGTTCATGCTGGCCATACTCACGTCTTATTTCTTATAACATTCTCTCTTTGTAGTTGACTGCTTGAGCCATGAGAACCCCATCAACGGCAATTATTCTTTACAGAAGGGGCCACAATGTTTCTGAACCTGTGGCTGTGTTATGCGGTCAGCTTAGCTGCAAATGGCACTTACAAGAATTCTTTAATTAAAATATACGATTTGACGTCTTATATCTTATATTTTAATCTGCGTTATTTATGTACAAGCCCACACACACCACCACAGCTCCTTCTGGAATGCTATGGTTTTTTTTCCCCGATGACCTTAAATTTCTTGCAGAAAACATGTGACACCGTGGACTTTAACAGTGTAGATGTAGTTATCTTTCTATTGACAGGTTGGCCTGTTCTGTAAACTATTTGTGGAATGCAGCAGAGCTGCTAAGAGTCCCTAATCATTGCAGCTATTTAAAGGGGCTTCCGCTTTTCTTTTATTACCATAGTCTATGAGTGGACTGGACATGTAGCACAACTTCACAGAAAACAGCTCTGGGGAGAGCAACTGCATTCCCTATAACTTAAAGCAGACCTCGGTGTAAAATCTGAGGTCCGCTTATATTGTCTCAATCCTGGAGAATGCAGTGCAGCCAAAATCTCAAGAGAAGATGCTCTTGTGTGCACTGTCTAATCACACAGTTTGGCCAGCTCTGTATTTCTGAGGAATCTTCCCGGAAAGATGGCGACGTCCCACCTAGCAACATGGAGGAAAATGATAAATCTAACTTTTTTCTTTGCAGGTAACTTTTACACCTATTTCAGTAGAGTGCTCTGCATTCACTGGAAGGACAGTTCCCTGGACGTCCAGCAATGTGGAAGACTGGGGTAAGGTAAGTATAATTCTCACTTTTTCCTTTGCAGGTAACTTTTATACCTACTATCAGTAGATTGCTCTGCATTCCCTGGAAGGATGGATCCCTGGATGTCCAGCAATGTGGAAGACTGGGGTAAGCAGTGGCGGAACTACCACCATAGCGACCGATGCGGTCACTATGGGGCCCTGCGGGGGGCGGGGAAGAGAGCAGAGCCACTGTCTTCCTGTAAGTTTCAGGAAGACAGCGGCTGTGTGCGTTGGTGAGCGGAGGATCGGTAAGTATCATTGATATTTAGCGATCCTCCGGGTGCAGCACAAACACTGGAGTGATCGTCTGATCACTCCAGTGTTTGTAAAAAACTGGGTACTATTACTAGTACTATGTGTCCCCAGTTATGAATGAACAGGCTGTGATTTACATCACCTCCTGTTCATTCATGAATTTCTCAATGGGGAGAAGCACTCAGTACAGAGGCTCCTCCCTATTGAGAATCTGCTTGATAGTAAATATCTTACAAATATCTTACTATCAGCAGTTTGTGAATGAATGGGGAGGAGCCTCTGTACTGAGTGCTTCCCATACACTGAGTGCTGAGGCTGCATAAAAAGACATTGAGGACTCTGTGTCCTCAATGTCTTTTTCTATTTCAAAAGGAAAACGTCAGGGGTCTGTTTAGACCCCTAATATTTCCCCGAAGCCCCCCCAACAGTAAAATAATAATAAATAATAATTAAAAAGTACATTACAAAAGTGTAAATAATTAAAAAAAGGCACAACCCCCCCTCCCCCACACACACATAACATACACGTGCACCATATTGTGGTGTACGCCAGGCATATGCGCTGCAGTGCGTTGTTAGAACGCATCTCAGTGCATGATTTTTTTCTTTTGTAAAAAAACATTAATTTTACTGTGGCAGGGCATGGCAAAGCATTGTGATATCTTGTGTTGTAATGAAATATACGCCTGTATCATTTTATCACAACACAAACGCAAACACAGCGCAAAAACCATTTATAACATAAATCGCTTATTTACAGTTTAGCGTTCCTTCATTTTTTTTTATAATCCCATTTTCCTCAGCCTCCCATTGGTGTGGCAGTATTAAAGTAAAGTGTTAGGCCTCATTCAGGCCCCATTCAGACCAGGGCGGAAGCGTTTCACCGTGGTTTCCGCACGATTTTTAAAAGAGCATTTTTGACTGTTTTTAGTCACGCTTTAGTCACGCTTCAGCGCTGAAACGCAATTAAAAACGCTCAAAAACGTGCTGTTCAGCGCATTTCTATTAAAATGGGGCCGGGGGGTTTCGTTGTGGGGGAGGGCCTTAAAACATTTTGCTATGGGGCCCTGGGATTTCTAGTTACGCCCCTAAGGTAAGCATAATTCTAACTTTTTTCTTTGCAGGTAACTTTTACACCTATTTCAGTAGATTGCTCTGCATTCCCTGGTAGGACAGATCCCTGGATCTCCAGCAATGTGGAAGACTGGGGTAAGGTATAATTCTAACTTTTTTCTTTGCAGGTAAATTTTACACCTACTAACAGCAGGTGATTTCTACAGACTGGAGGGGGCCTGGACAGTATAAGCAGACCTTGCATACTCAATGACATTTAGTTTTCTATAGCACTGGGTATCATAAACAATTTATATATTTTTTAAATAAAATACTGTTACATTTTTGTCATCTTTTGCTACATATCAGCACTGCTCCTGCAGCTTCTTTGCTACCACTTCCTGTTTACATTTAAAGGAGAACTATGAGGCGAGTGCTTTTCACTCACCTCATAGTTCTAGCCGACCTGTGACAATGAGACTGTCACAGGTCGGCTCAGTAGATCGGGAAGTGAGCGAACACATACCGGCGTTCGCTCACTTCTCGATCCTGTCACGGCTCTCTGCCGTGACAGGGGAGGGGCTGGATTCCCCCCTCCACGCTCCGAACCTCCAGCGCTGACTGGCGGATCGGACGGGGTAGGGGGCGGGTATAGCTTGCTCTGCCTCTAGATAGGCAGAGCAAGCTGTCACTCACGCAGCTGGGCGGATCCACACATAATTGTCGGGATCCGCTTCAGCTGCGGCGTCTCAGTATACCGCAAGCTGTAACTCGTGGTATACTGAGCTTAGGGTGACGGGAAGACGCTAGTTTGTGTCCTCCCGTTACCCTAAGGAGAACTATGGGGAAAAGCCCTAACCCCATAGTTCTCCTTTAAGGTCCATTTACACACATAAAAATATATGATATGCATTGACATGCATTTTTATGTGCATTTAATTGTGTTTCTGTGGGCAGTTAACTGTCCTTGTCCAATCAGAGAACGCCTCTTATGCATTAAAAAAATACTAAGCTTTTACAGAAAGGCTGCTGTGCTGAACAAGCGACCCCAGAGGGGAAGTCACTGAGCACAGCGGCTGTACAGGACCACTGTAACTACTACAGTGTTTTGCAAGATCCCCGTGGGCTGACCAGGTATAAGATATATATTCTTACATTGAGCCAAGCTGGACCAATGTAAGTATATATAAATAATGGTACCTGGAGTTCAGTATTATTTTCCAAGACAGCCTGTCTGTAAAACGTCTAGAGTGGATGACTTTACACGGACATTGGATGTGCAGCCCCAACAGCGCAGGAATGAATGCTCTGGTTCATTCACAACCTGTGCATGCGTACTATGCTCTCTCCCTCTCGGTCACAACAGCGGCTGAGCTCAGTGTTGTGCGACAGAAGGGGACAGCGTGCGTTCACAGTGTTTGAACAAGGTAGAGCTCTCCTTCCTGTGCTGATGAGGCCGTGTATACAGCAGCTCATAGGAGGGGTTGGTGTTGGGAGTTAAGTCGCTCACTCTAGAAGTTTGTTAGAGGCTGAGGAGAGGCCACGCACGGCCTACAGATATACTGTACCTGGGAAATTAAAGGAGAACTATGGGGTTAAGGCTTTTCCCCATAGTTCTCCTTAGGGTAACGGGAGAACACAAACTAGCGTCCTCCCGTCACCCTAGGCTCAGTATACTGAGACGCCGCAGCTGAAGCGGATCC